TTTACAACGTCTACATTCTCATTTTTAACCAACTTTGTTCATTTAAATGCAAGGAAAAATATATAGTGGTCATATAAAAACCTTTTTATATTAGTCTCAATAAATGCATTCAATATATAAACTTCTGGTAATTTTCCTTTTAGATAATTGAATATGTTAATGATTGGCAAACATGTAAAATTAATATTGACTACTTAAAAAATACCAAGGAAGTACTAATATATGGTCCACAACATACAATTGACTTATTGAGAATATCTGTCAGTACATGTGTGTAGGAGAAAATAAAACAAGAACGTGGAGTAAGAACCAGTTAAAACAAGCTAAGAGAGATTTGCATACCTACTTAATTACTAACCTAACTATGGTTAATGCATTTTTTTTGTTCATGATTATGTACGTGTAATTGACACCTTAACTTCCGTTCTTACCCGTTCAAAAAACAAATATACGGAGTTAATATACAATTCAATGGGACTAAGACAAGGCAGACAACCCTCATGTTGTCATGTTGTAATTTTATCTATTCATGAATGTTAACAACTAACACAACCAATCAAGTTAATTAGGTATTACCTTCATGAACTAATTAATCAAGTTAATTAATTAACTATTCTTATTATACTTAATATTCTTCAATACAGACTACGGAGTACACAACTTTTATCATTATTAGTTTACTTGAATAAAAAGTAGGTTTTTTTCTCAACAATTAACTTTAATTTTCAACTTTTACAATCCAGCCAATATCTTAATTATACTTCAAACTTTGTTATTAGGAATTACCTTACATTGTTTTTTATCTGCTCTTGTAACACTATTTGATCTGAGGATGGATTCTGTCAATATTTTTGTTAGTGGGGTCACAATCAACAATTTTAATCATATATTCAAAGTTAAGAGCCTTAACTTCAAATGGAAGAGTAAGAATTAAATTTTAGAGAGAAATACATATAAATTTAGTATCAAAAATTAAATCTTTAACGATTTTATGCCTATTCAAATTCTATAAATACCCCCAAATAATGGAAAAGCCTAAATTTTAAGCTTTATAAGTTGTCCCAAATAAAATCAAAGCACTAAATAAATTGGTTGTATATTAAACTGCTGCAAATAATTTACGTTCTTCATGTATGGTAAATGTTTTAAATTAAAGCGTATTTTTTACATTACAATAGGTAATTGCCGGAAAATTTACCTCTGGTCAGCTGATCAGTCCCTTAATTGCTACAAATGAAAGTTGAGTACCTTTCTACCTTATTTGCAACTTTCATCAAAGATTCAAAGTTCAATAAATACCTTATTGTGGTATTAACTCGAGGATAAAAATATCTGATATTTTAGGTTCATCACTTGTATTTTGTGCGGTTTTCCTTCTCAATAATGAACCTAAGTTTTTTTTTTTCCTCAATAATGAACCTAATCATTAATGAGATCATTAGTGAACCTAATGCATGCTTGTCCATATTGAGGACAAGGGAATTTCATAATTTAACCTAATGCTTGACTATTCTAGAGCTGATCAAAGGCTGGGCCGATATTTATTTTGCATTTTTCGAGCCAAATAATTGGACTGTGCTAAACTTTTGGGCTAGAATTTACAGGGATTTCGGCCAAATCCAAGTGAGGCTTTGTTCTGAATAAAGTTAGCTCGAAACATTTGGGGTTTTCAAGCATATATCAGTATATGAGTCAATTCAATTTGGACCGTGCCTTGATAGCTATTTTTTTTTTTTTAATACTACTTATATAAATTGCTTCTAGTTTACTCATACTATTTAAGATAAAAGGTTCATCAAAGTAAAATAAAAATAAAAAACCTAAAGCTACTTGTTCATCTACAATGTGGACGAATGTAATTCATTGTTGTATCTAATACGGAGTACTACTTATATGGTTAAACTACTACTTTATCATAGATTTTGCAATACCTATTTAATTATTTATTCATACCATTGATGATGAAGTTCAACCATTATTGAATTTTGTATAGTATAATTAACCATATGGTCATCCATTTGATTTTGACATTCCTAATCTTTATAGTTTTAAACTTAATACTCTAGTTACGTAGTGACACGCACCAGAAAAAATAGCTTCAATCATACTTTTTTCGTTAGCATAATTCGTCATTACAAGTCGTTGTAGTATAGTGGTAAGTATTCCCGCCTGTCACGCGGGTGACCCGGGTTCGATCCCCGGCAACGGCGTTATTTTTGGCTTTTTAGATTTATAAGAGCATATTTTCCAAAAGTCTCTTGATACCGGCATTGCTTGGAAGACTGCATTTGGGCAAGCAGATCATAAGTCGATCTTATTTTTGCCCAACCTCTGAGTTGAATATAGGCTATTTCTAATGTAATTCGCCCATACTCTAAAGAAGGATCTAATACAAAGAACTTGCATAAATAAGCTACTCAAATATATGATCATGCATATCTAGCATATTGACAAATCTTCGAATCCACAACTATTTTAGGTTAAATTAAGAAAACAAACCTGAACAATACTCAATCTCATATTCTTCATTAATAATCCTCTAGTCAAAATATATTGATCTTTTGTTAAAGACATTGAATCTTCTCATTGAACCTCCGCGATCCCCAGATTCTCTTTACCGTTGATAACAACTTTTAAAAGTACATGACTCCTAAAGATAATTGAAATAAAAATCAGCTATCATTGAAAATTAGCAAAAACAGTGGGCTACATACCATTGAGAATTTCCCTATTTCTAATTATCATTGAGAAAAATATAAAAATTTAATATTGTACCAAAATACATTTAGATGATTCTAACTAGATTCAACTACATGACGATATTTTATCAAAACACAAAAGCTAGCTAGTTAAAGTAATTTTTTTTATCCTAAAAAAAAAATTAATTTAATAGTGTCAAATGTTAAAACATGTCAAGTTGTTAACTAAAAAAACCGGAAGAAGTATCATGTATAGATTTAATCATATAAATGGTTATCAAGCCTGACTAGCAAATATTAAGGAGATCCATTAAACAAATAAAAATGGCACATTAGCTCATGTTTGTAATGATATGCCCAACTGGCATTGCTATGTTACTCAAACATTGAGACAAGCTAAGGATTAAGTGTGTCTACTTGAATATGGGTGTCCAAGTGCCAGACTCAATCAATTTATAGAAAAAAAATCAAGATTTTAATTAAGATGAAGAATCCGAGTGTTGGATCCATCATGATACAACACGACATGGATTTTTGAGGTAAATAAGGGTGTCGAAGTAACATAGCCCAATTGTCATTCTACCCAAAAAAAAAAAAAAAAAAAAAAAAAAAAAAAAAAAAAAAAAAAAATTGATAACTTATTTTTTTCTGATCTAAAATAATTAAAAATAAGGTGATTAAACATGACCTAAGTTAGAAATAACTAGTTGCGTTCAAATAAAGTTAAAAATAACTAGTTTATGGGCTTCTTTTACAAGTTATAACAGATCTAGAGTTCTACTTTGCTTTTTGAAAACTTCAGATTTTTGAGAATCAACCAGCTTGACATCCAAGTCGTTGTAGTATAGTGGTAAGTATTCCCGCCTGTCACGCGGGTGACCCGGGTTCGATCCCCGGCAACGGCGATTTTTGTAGGTTTTTTTTTTCTTTCTTTCTGTCTATTTTAAGTTTTTAAATAGAATACAACTAATAGCTGATTAGTGATAACCAAATTATAATCTCGGAATAGTATTAATACCAATTTAACTTCATGATTTGCAATTTTATAGAGCTTGTTAAAAGTTCAAACATTTAGTATGAGCCATGCGGTCGTACCAAATTTAAAATTTTTCTCTTCTCCTTCTTCCATTAATTTTAGATAAATACAGAGTACATTTCTATTTATACAATATTCTTGTATATATAGACTCTTTATTTTTGGTGTTGTATGCACAGTAGTCACTTGTTAAATTTGCTTAATGTATATTTTCATTAATACAATTTTCAGCTTATGCAGCATACAATTACCGATTAATTTAAATAACATTTTTCAGCTTATGCACCATACAATTACCGATTGGAAAATTTGCTCATTTAATTAAATAAGTAAAACTTGTACAGCACATAGCTAGCTTTGACCGGAAATCTCTTTCAATTTGGTTTATATCACAATTTTAATTTTAAAATGTATAATTATCCAAAAGATATTTATAAGAGTTATCTCAAACTTTTTAAAAGGTAGGTAAAAAAGACGCAAAAAAAAAAAAAAAAAAAAAAAAAAAAAAAAAAAAAGCTAGGCTGGTAAAAACAAAATAGAAAAAAAAAATGTCACGCGTGTGATTTGCATGCATAAATGGGGTATTTATGTAAATAGACATTTTAAGGGATATATTTGATATAACACTATTCATAAACGTTTGGTTGATAAGGTAGGGACCGAATAATTGATGTTGTTCACTTGTTTGGTGTACTCGTATTCTCGTAATATAAAAATGTACTCCCTTTGCCCTATATTTTTGCCCTATTTGAATTTTTACGGTCTCCAAGACGAGTTTTAAAACGTATATATCTCCAATTTCATGTGTAAAACTTATAAAAACTTGATACTAATAAAATATACAATGAAACGTATCCAACAAGAACTCACATAACTATATTATCACTTATAAATTTACTGTAATTTATTATCAAAGTTTTCAAAGTTTAATCCAAATATTGGCTATGGGGCAAAAAATAAGGGACAAAAGGAGTACTTTCGTAGCAAATATAGAGAATAAACAAGAATATGAATTTGAACAATTTAACCTAATCAACATTCCAAGTCGTTGTAGTATAGTGGTAAGTATTCCCGCCTGTCACGCGGGTGACCCGGGTTCGATCCCCGGCAACGGCGCTTTTTTTTTAATTCATACGCAGTATTTTGTTCTTCCCTTTAACTCTGTAATCCACTCAAAAACAGGTGAACCTGAGATTAGGGTTATCAAAAAATAAATATACTCGTATTCATCAGGTAAATTACTTGAATCCAACTTAACTCTAAAATTTTCCATGTCTTATTTCTACTTACTTCTAATATTTATTTAAGCTAAATTTTTATGAACTTAGATAATTTTTATTCTTACTTTCTTTATTATGTTCAGTTTTTAAACGAATTGCGATTACTTTTTACATGCAAGATTGCCAAGTATTTAGTTTGCTGAAGAGCTGAATTTATTCACTTAAAAAATACCCCAAAAAAAAAATATGTTGAATTGGGTTTTATTTTAGCTTTTTCATTCTTTATGGTGCCAAAAGATTATGCTGAAACTTTTTTTAGTTAATCTTTGCTTTCTTGTAAATTGGCTGATGATATATTGATATATTTACATTTGAATGTTTGTCCAATTTTCTGTGCTTCTGCATCATAAATATGAAAGTTAAGGGCTTAATTAGCCTTTTGCAATATAATTATATGTTTCCTCAGGTAGGTAGCTTTAACTGGATCAATTTTATTTTAGAAAGCAGAAAATTTCATAGTTAAGTATATCATTGTGTGTTTGATTGTGACTTGTGAGTGTAGGTTGCCTAGAGCGAGGCGATGAAACTGTTTGATGCACATTGTCACCTCCAAGACCCGAGGATTTTTAGCCTCGCCCCACGATTAATCCGTTCGTCTCTTGATACCGGCATTGCCCACTTCGCGGTCAATGGGGTTTCAGAGAAGGACTGGCATTTGGTTAAGCAGATGAGTGAGTCTTATCCTTCTGTTGTTCCTTGTTTTGGTGTTCATCCGTGGTTTGTTCCTGAGAGGACGACGAACTGGTTTACCCTTTTGAGACAGTTTTTTGAGTCTACACCTACTGCAGCTGTTGGGGAGATTGGTTTAGATAAAGGGTCGCGGGGTAAACAGATTGATTTTGATGATCAGGTTGAAGTATTTAGGAAACAGCTAGAATTAGCAAAAGAACTGAAAAGGCCGGCTTCTGTTCATTGTGTCCGCGCTTTTGGTGACCTTCTTGATGTGATGAAGGCAACTGGGCCTTTTCCTGATGGTGTAATTCTTCATTCTTACTTAGGGTCTGCTGAGATGGTCCCTGAATTAGCAAGGCTTGGTGCTTATTTCTCTTTGTCTGGATTTCTTATGTCAATGAAATCACAAAAGGCAAAGAAGATGCTGAAGGCAGTGCCTTCTGATAGAATCCTGCTCGAGACTGATGCACCTGATGCCCTGCCTAAGTCGAATTTGGGTGACTTGTACTTTGTGGAAGGTGATCCTTCCCTTCCTCCTGAACTTCAGGCACTAGGAGAGAATCCACATTGGAGGGCTAACAGTAACGTGTTAGAAGTTGAGAAAGAAACACCAGAATTGCCAAAAGAAATGCTGAATCATCCGGCTAATATTCATAATGTACTTACCTATGTGGCTTCTCTGCTCGAGATGAGTAAAGAAGAACTTGCAGGATTAAGCTACTCAAATGCAATTCGCCTGTTCTCTTATGAAGGTTCTAAAGTACCCCAAGAAGGTTAGTGCTTTGTTTTGCTTTGTATCTGTTATGAGGATATAGTTATATAAATACTCCATTTTCCTTCTTCTGTCCTGTCATGTTATGGCTTTCTGAATTATATTCTTTCATTATGGTCTATCTGCGAACAACTGGTGTATAATTTTAGTAAACAAAACATGAATTAATCAGGGCATTAATGTCATTCATGGAATTTCTTTGGAATGACATTAAATTAGCTGAAGGCCTTTCTTATATCCACCCTAAGGATGCATAAAACTATGTATGAAGGTTAAAGATGTCCAGTAACACCATTATTTCCCTCCACTGAGCCCACAGAAGTTATTTAATTTCAGTAAACAACTAGTTTTTCCCAAATGATTTGCTTTTAATTGGGAAGATAACAGAGGTATTCACTACTACAGAAGCTTTCCAATCTAATGTTGCCGATATGTATACAGATACTCATATATTAAGGCCTTTATTGGAACTTAGAAATTTGAACTAGAATATCACATCATCATTTTGGGAGCATTATTTGAGGATTGTGCTTAACATGATGCCTAACCTGATTTGCATTTATAAATCTAATTGAGGCCAATCAACTCATTAACTTGTTGACATGATGCAGCTATTATGGAGGATTAATTTCTACTCCATTTGACACTATTCCCCCCTCAATTAAACAAATATCGTTGAAAATGTGGGGAACATCTAGAAGATATTGCTTTGCTCTCTGTCCTTTAATATGCTAAAATGATTTTTTTTTTTTTATTTATTTATTTATAGTACAAGGCTATGTGCAGTAGCGAGTAGCCTCTTAATATTTATATCAGCCATGAAAGTGATGAAACTAGGTCCTATGTGGCTATGTCAGTATATTGTAGTTATGTTTGCTAATGTGAAGAAGGTGAAAGTCTCTGCCAGATTAAGGCAGATGAAGCTGAGTTGATATAAAAATCCTCATCAATATGTTGTTCTATTTGAAGACTATACTGGAAGTTTGTATAGTTTTTTTTTATTGGCAACAAAGTTTTATACGTTTAGCCACTTGGCAGCTGAATGCAGGAAAGAAACTACTTACTCTCTCCAACCTGAATAATAATCAGTCATTCACGTTACGTATACTAATTTAGAATGCTTAGAAAATACACTTTTGCCTAGAAGAGTAATACTCTTTAAAATGAGTGATGGGAAAAAGGTGAAAATTATCCAACTATTATACAGGTAGTCCTGTTAAGTTAAAGTCTGTATAATATCAATATCTTAGTTATGAGGGGTACGAGCAATGTGACAATATCTTTTACTGGAGAACGTACTCTTTAGGTAGTGTTATAGGGATGCACTAGGAATATATGATTGAAATATTGAGCTAGCTAACCCTTTCCATCACATCATCTGGTTCTCTATCTGGTTGTGTGAATGAAGGAATTTCTATTCTCTTAGGATGTGACCCTGTTATTATCTTGACACAAGTGGCAATATATGCTTCTCAGATAACACTGAAGGTCTTGTTTTGGAGTAAACAGTGGAAAATCGAATCTCTCGTCTGCATCACAAACTACTCAAGATCTGTGTCAAATGTTCGGCCAACAATTGTGGCACCTGCCCTTCGCTGCCAATTCCATGTCGCATACATACATGTCTTGAGTGTGGTGTCATCTGTGCTGTTGCTCTCTATAATTGTCGACATCGTCTTGTGGATGTGGTTGTACTTGTATTAAGATCTCTTTGTAAAAGGATGTATGGAACTTCTTTTCACTCCACAATGAGGTATACAAGAGATGTGTAAAATCTGTAAATATGTTTAATTGACAGCTAAATGTTGTCCTATTATTTGGCTAATTTGATGAGTACTGACCTTTTTTTTTGAAAGAAGATGAGTATTGACTTGAAGTCGTGTTAAATGCTCCCTCCATCCGAAAATGATTTCACAAACTGTATTTTGAATTGTCCCAAACAAAACTTCAAACTTCCTTTTCATACTTTGGTTGTGTTTGGTTCAAAGAAAATTTCCAAGGACATCAATCAATCTCGATGATTACCCCTAGTCTCTGTGGCATTGCACCAATTTCAAGTGTGAGGTACATTTTGGAACGGAGGGAGTTTAAGTTAACCAAACCAAACGATTCTTGTGGGATGTTACTTGGCCTCTAGTCTATTAAAAAAATGCAGTACATTATTATAGGCATTGTTATTGTTCTGATACATAAGGAACAATTCCTAAGATTCTACTAGACTATTCAATTCATTCATATTAGTTCAAAATATTCATATATGATAGCATTCTAGCAATATGTTTCTCCCTTCAATACTGCAAAATACAGGCCACAACCCCAATAGTTTTTCTTCAGCTACATGTGTTGACCGAGGGTCAAACTAATAAATAATGACCAAACTCGATTCTTTTCATCATTCATTCTTCTTCGTTTTCCATTTACCAACATCTCCCATGTAAGGTTGAGCACTGTAGGCATATTGTTGAAGAACAGAGAACACAACCATCTCTAAGCATACTAGCACATTCTGGATTCCTTCTTCAATATGTTCAACATCCAACCAGGAATATCGAGATCGTATAATCCCCACAGCAACCAGAAGCTCAAGCACAATGCCCTGCAAATATTAAGACAACTAATGAGCTTTTTGTGTGAATGGAAGTGGACAAGCACAAAAATTAATGTACACAATGCTACATAAAAAGCCAGCATATTAGTTTGATGGAAACACACACAATATGAATTGTGAAGATTTTACCTGCCAAAAGCAAAAAAAGACGATGCCTTTAACGCATAGGAACTTAGCAAGCGGCTTGTGTGGTTCAAGTTCCTTACCAAAGACATGATAAAAGACCACCAAAGAATATAGAGCCAGTGATACTGAAACATTGAGGACTATTGTGAAAATCCAGCTGATTGTAGAGGTGTATAACCCGACAAGTTGTAATGCTATCATTAAGATGGAGCAAATTGGCCGAATCATGACAAATTGCCATGTCCATAGCTTCAGAAGCTTCAGTGTATGGTGGTCTAGGCGTACAGTGCGAGGCTGCATTAGCAGGCCAGATCAGCATTAGACTTAGCAAGCAACTTATCAAGTTTATAAATTCAACTTGACCCTATGCTTAAGAAACTTCAAATATGCATGGAACCATAAAAGCCAATTCCTGATCATATCTTTACACAAAATATGCTACCATTTCCATATAACTTTCTTTGAAGTTCATCATCTCAAAAGAATTTTCCCATGGTCTTTCTAACAGTCACAACTAAATAAAGGCCAATGCATGCACGAATCCAAACCTCACTAGACCTGAAAAGCAGTAGGATGCACATTATGGTGTCGGCAGTGATGGTGGTATTGATCATATTGCAGTACGATGTGTCTTATCCACAAGCAATTGGAGTACTCACTAACTTGTAGTCCTAGCTTAAATATATTGAAAAAGATGCCCACATAATAACATTAATAAAGAGTGTGTGTGTGTCCTTTTCTGTAACAAGACTGCTATGTGTCGATGTTATATACTTGTGATTCGGTATACTTAACATTCTAGTACAGCATTCTTATATATGGCCGTGCAATACAGCATGAAAAATCTATCTTAGAAAGCAACTTGCAAATTTCAATACTACTACTACAAGAGACTTAGAGACTGGGCTGCCAAGTGCAAAGTTTGCTTGCTTAAAAACTGCCAAGTTCAACAGATCTCAGTAGGATTCAATTTGTTTGGCTTGGGAAACACCTTCACAGCCTGTTATCCTGTCCTTTATGTATTTACATTCAATTATGATATGATAAACTGTTGGTATATAAACTCACCTGAAATAATGTCATTGGAAAAGAATGGTGGATTTCTCTTCCTTTGATTTCATCAGGCACTATATTTTTGCTGATTGATATATTCAAGTAACTATACATTAATGCCATAAATTTAGCAATGACCTGCATGAAATTAATGGGGAAAATTAGATTTATAATAGTTAAGCTAACAAATCACATGATTAATAGGGAGTTATGCAAATAAGAAACTTACCAAAGCCTCATAACATTCCTTGATCGATTCCAAGGTCATGAAAAATGCTTTGCTGCCACGAATGTCCATCAGACCCACAAAAGACACAACAGCATATATGGGAGCCATGAGGATAATGACAATGATAGCCTTCTGTTCCTTAGGGTTTTTCCAGTAAAAAAGATGCTGTGATAGAAGTTGTATCGTGAAATGCAGTGAAAGCAATACACAAAACGCATTTCCCACTATAATAATCTCACCACGATTCATTTTAGTGAAATCCAACAAGGGCAACATCTTGAGTATTTATGAGAATCCAGACAGTAGACCTGCAAAATGGAAACCGAAGCATCATTAAGACCGTAGTTCAAATTTATGGAGCTCATTTATGATATTACAAAGAGTGGTGGTGCAGTGAGCTTAGACGCAGAAACGGAGTATATCAGAAGAGTAGTGACAACTCGCAAATAAGAGTGAAGGAGTATATGAGAAGAGTCATGACAACTCGCAAATAAGAGTGAAGACTCATCCCCAAAATCTAATGTGTTCAGAGTCAAAATATATTGTCATTTTGAAAACAGCTATTTATCTCTGTCAAAACAGAGACCAAATATCAGCGTTCATCTTTTAATCATCTGATTTGGCTCTGAAAGTAACCATTTAGGGCAAGATCAAGTTCACACTACAGAATATTTACAAGTTACAACTAGCATATCCCTTTTCAAACTTTCTTCTCCAGTTATAAGAAATGTAGGATACCAATTTGCCATTTTTTTCCTCCATCCCAAAGAGTTACACTGTCGGTTGCCATAATTGCTATCGCGAATATCTGAGCACTTAATTTACTAGTAGTAAGTGACTACAAAGTAACAACTACCCTAATCTTCCAGCATATTACTGATAATATTATCCAAAAACTAATAACAAGGTATTGATAATTCAAGATGACTAGCATAAGTGTCAGTATTCTAGCATGAGCTAAATGCTTGAATAAATCGAATTTATATGGAAAAATCAGTTCCAAAAATCAAATAATACTTTATCAATTACAGTTCCTCATGTGTCTTATGATTACAGCCATCTTAGTTTCCACAATAGACAAGGTACTACAACAAACATCCCTAAAAATGTATCTATTGCAAATTCGAAACACCCAAACACACATTTCACTTATATTCATCAAAATTTTCATTGATCAAGGTGAAATACAAACAATTTGAGCCAAAGTATCTCCAGGATCATGGTAAAATACCCCAAAAAAAGTTAAACCCTTTGATTTATTTAGTTCAATTATACTACAAGCTCATCACTACATTAAAACCCAACAAATCTATAAATCTTTATCAAATATAACAAAATTAAACCCAGAAATAATTAAAGATGCAAGATCCAGAAGGTTCCAAGAAACCAAAATTTCAACCCAGAAAATTTTTTACTAGAAACAGCAATAGCTTAGTGATAATGCAAAAAAATACAGAAAATTGCAAAAAAATAATTGAATAGGAAGAACTTACTTTTATAGATTTGCAGAAAATCGTTATTTATTTTTGCAGTGAGTAAATGTAATGATCAAAACGTTATCAAGATTTAAGCGATTTATTTAATAGAAGCGGGGTTCAGACTTGATGTGGAGGAAAGATAGAAATAATGTCTAGGCAATGGCCAATGGGTCAAGCCTCGCTAATCACGTGTACCATATACCATGACGTCTGATTTTCTATTACTCGTACTCGCTTTGTTCATAAATAAAATCACTTGACAAAAATTAAAAATTAAAATCTTGGCCTCAAAATAAAGTTTCTGTTATGAAATATTTGTCCTTGTATCATTCCGGAATATTTTAGATATATGATTTATTGTTATCTAACCAAACTCTAGTTATATTGTATGTATATATATATTCCTACTTTATGAAATAATAATGACTTATTTATTCTCTCCCCAATTTCACTCCTATCTCTCTTTATTCACGATTCTCCAGTGCATCTTTTCAAAGGTAATGTTTAATTCTATTTTCCTAAATGAGAACGAGTTTTGATTCAGGTATTTTTTGGGTGTTTGTACTTGTTATGTATAATTCTATTTCCGCTTCGAATCTTAAGTATCTGCTTCCAAATTGAACTATCAAATCCCCTGAAATAGCTCATATTTCTTCCTCTGTTGCTTTCAAGAAGTATTCTTTACACTTTATAATTATATTAGGTAATTTTACATGGATTCATTATAATATTTACTCTTTTTAAATAATAAAATTAAATTTAGGATTTTGTTTGTGTTCTTATTGATAAGGAATTATCTCCTAAGAATTAGTCAATAATTAGTTATCTAGTTCCTGGCAATTGTCTTCTATGAACCAATTTGCTGATTGATGACTAATGTTAGCTATGTTATCATTAGCAACTCTAAGTGTTGATATTTGTGGAAAATTGTTGATAATGCAATTAGAAGAAGCACAATCTATTATAACATGTTTCTGTGTATTTGTGAGTTTAGCAAATCTTACTGTCATTTATTATAATATATGCTATGGTGTATATGTGAGCTTAACCAAACTTTTTGTTATTCCCTTTGTACACTATGAGCTTTCCTTTTTGGTAAAAATTGTTTTTTGAATTGCGGGATATTAGTAATGAGAAAATATTGTGTGTTTTATGCTGGTTAGACTATAAAATGAAGAAAGGGGCAAGAAGGATGCCGTTTTGAGCAAAAATTCTACAACATATAATGGCTTTCTTAAAAAGACAATCATAGTAACATTAAAATCTTAGCTGTTCATTGTACTTTGAATCTTAACCATACTAGTACCTCGTTAAGCTCGTAAATTCAACCAAACAGAACACAT